TTAAGTTAAGCAAGATGGGGCAAAATGGTCTACAGCAAAATTGTTCCTCGTGAGTCGAAACTTTCATTTCTACAACTTTCATCAACACTCCCCAACGATAAATCCACCCATTGGCCCAGAAACCGAGGATAAACTCACTTTTTTGACCCACAAATTTAATTTTTTTCTTGTAACGATTTTTCGAATATAATGTGGACAAATGTGAATGTTATGTATACCGTTGGATAGGTATTCACGAGCACTAAAATTTTGGCCCAAAGCGCAGTGCCCTTCCTCCCATGACTGGGGAGATATGACCTTTGGTGTTAATACCCTGATTTTCATGGTCGCCCTTTTTGGATACACAGAGGGTGCGGAAAAAATTTGCATATATTTGAAACATACTCGACCTCAAGAAAAATAAATCAATTTTGGCTTCAATAAAGTGTAGGTATGCCCAAATGGGCTCAACTACAAAATGAAATTTCTGACGCAGTCGAAGACCAAGAAAGCGACGAATAAACATCATTTTTCATTACTTTTGTCACTGATTACAATCCAAAAGTCGATTAAATGAATAAACATTGAATAAACCATCAAAATATGATGATATTGTTTCATTTTCACACATGTTTCTGAGTTATTTGGAGTGTCCCATTCAAGGAGACCAATATTTTTTTTCCGATTTTCGTCATGGTCGGAAATTTTGCGATAAAATTTTTTTTGTAATGTAATCGAAGAACTATCTTAGGCAAAAAGATTCCTTTGATGGTCCTCTTTCCAACGGTATATCACATTCTCAAAAATATTTCCACTAGTGAAAGTTAGAAAATTAGGCCAAAGTGTGTCCCATTCAAGGAGACATTCCCTTAATATCTCCATGCCAGTAAGATATATTGATGAACAACATATATCGTATGATAGATATTGTGTATTTAGGTATTGCGCATTTTTTGATGAATAACACTCTGTTGTGTGACTTGCTCGGAAAATTTTATGACCAATTTTCTGACCAATTTTCTGACCATCATTTCAGGGCCTTTTTTCCCTATGTGCGGGGTCGTGCAATGCATATAAATCAGAATTTTTTTTCCACCAAATTCACGAGAAGAAAAGGCGTGAGAGCACCAAAGGCACTCGAGAGCCCAATGCAAGACCTAAAAACAGGGCGCAGGCATTCCAAAGGGCGTAACAATTTGAGAGCACACGAACAAAACACTATTCTGTTTGCTCTTCGACTCATTAAGTCTTTGGTCCAAGAAAAAATGGCATTCAAAGTAAGAGATAGCCAAAAATATATATTCTGTTTAACCCATTACTGTGACGAAATTTTATGTTATTTCGACTGAATTTTTTGTTTAGAAATGGAGTGTATGGTTAACCTTTAAATAAAAACAGTTTTGAATTCGTAAATCAAACATTATAAGCAGCTATATAGCAGGGACTTATACACCTAAATAAAATGAGTGTGAGTGTTCGGAATTTTATGAAGAGCGCTCCAAAGTGTAATCCTTAAAAAATCGTCGGAAGAGCGTTTCAAAGCACTATTCATATAGTTTTGAAGCGCTCTCGTCCTTCGTTGCGCATTCGAATGTATTTTTTCAATATGGTTCGGGTATGCACAAATTCATTAGATTAATGACAATGTTAAGTCCTTAGGAGATATTATTATATCCAATATCCATATATATATAGTTTTGTTGCACTTTTCAATGCAATGTGCAATAAGCAGGGGGATTACAGATTGATAGTTGAGCTGCATGATAAATACTGAATGAATAGTTCTGCAGCTTGCCGTATATGATATTGTCGGGCAAACTGCGGCGCTAGTGTGCTTGTGTTTCAATCTACAAAACCCCTGGCAATAAGAGAATGAAAATCAATTGTAAATTTTCTTTTCAAGTTGAACAAAATGTTCAGGCTGATAAAAAAGGGCGCAATTTTTTTTAGAAAGGGCGCAATTGATTTTCCGCACGAGGGCGCAAAAAGATGAAAAAAGGCCCTGCTCATTTTTGGGGGTGAATCGAATCATGCGGAGCGAAGTACTCGATGTTAGCCGTAAAAATCACATATCTTAATCTCAACAAAATAAAAATTTAATGTAATTTTTTGAAATTCTAAAGTCACAAAATATCATAACAGCATGTGCCGAAAACACATTTTCAACTTTTTACGTTTGTGTGTGAACAAAAACTATAAGTCTATAAAATTATAAGTCTATAATAACGAAACATAGAGGATACAATTACAAAACTTTTGATGTATGACACTTGACATATTGGTTCAACCGTTTTCGAAATATCGGTAGTGATTCGATTCGCCCCCATCGCCCCTATATTTAAGGATTTTTTGATCAAAAATCGATTTTTCAAGATTTGAAATTGAACCAACTGAATATAAGGCCAGAAATATGTGAAAACACAACGCTACGGTTTCTTTTAAACATGTACATAAATGGCACTGAAGCGCCAACTGGTGCTAGCCCCTGTACTACACACACTGAATGGAAACTTTTTCACTCTTGTGTTGACGAATTCTACATTGATTTTAACATTATGTTTGTAGTACAGGTGCTAGCACCAGTTGGCGACAACAATGCGAAGCCATAGCGTTGTGAAAACATCACTCGATTTGGTCATATAGGCACTCAGAATGTTCGTAGGGGATCACACTAGAAGTTAGAAGGCAGCAAAGGCAGATATTATTTGCTTAGTGAAGCAATATCACTGTTAGGCTGTAGCTCATGGGCGTTTCTTCTCATCTTGCTTGAATTGGCACATTTTACGACACCAAAATCATATAAACCCATGTTAAACGAAGCCGGAATTCGATTCTATGTCAAATATTAGGTAGAAATGGCTCATCGGATGTTTCAAAAATGAAATAAACGTAGTTGTTCAGCTGAGTGGTTTTGAGCGAAAATTTAATACAGAAAAGTTGTGCGGAAAAATTTCGATGATGGTTGAGCGGAAAAGGGATAGCTATATAGTATACTGTAAAGTAAACTATAGTGAACTATATAGCCAGGGATGGCATGTGACACGATTTTTTGTCATTGGTAAGTAAATGACGTCGGAAACCGTATTCGACGTTTTCGACGGTCGAAAACCTCGTTCATTTCAAAAACTCCTAAACATTTAAAAATACACAGTACGACTCATTAAATGATATTCTCTGCACTCATTACGTATGCAAAATACATACACGCGCATTCTCTAGCGTTATAGCTTTTGCATACACTCAAAATGCGGGAGGAGGAACGTGATGAAAGAAACAAGAACTGGCCATAAATGAGCTCTATCTTGTGCAACCCGTTGGACATCTCAACGAAATGAAGCCGAATCATTTTTGAAGAATTCGTCTGTCATGAATACGGTCACAGTCGCCTAAGATGCGGAAGCAGAATCTGACAAAGATGCAATAAGATCAAAAACGATCGTTTCTTCACGTCTCTTCAATCAAACGTTTTTTGCATCAGTTAAGTCAAAAGAGCACCACCTCTGTTGCTGATGCAGCAGAAAATGGCTTGGATTATTGCAAGATGGACCAGTCGCACTGCAGGGGGTCTGGGGGCTCAACGTGTTCGACAAAGTTGTTGCCCTATATTCTATACTATTTTGGAAAGGTGGCGACATAAGCCATTCAATGCAATATGTGCGGAATGATTTCTTGAGTATCCAGTAAAGCGGAGTTGTTTCAAAAATTCTTTTTTACATTTAATATTAATAAATATATAAATAAATTTTGATATATTATATAAATTTTAAGATCCGAATTTTATCCGGATATTTTGCTCCCGAATCGTGGATTGTTATTTTTCAAATCCCGCCAAAAATTTCAGACTTTTCAGAACGAGTTCTATATTTTAAAAAAATGCTGAAAATGCATTTGTTCTTGTGTGATGTATAGGCGAGTTTACCGTCTTCGCACCATTGTAGGACAGTACAAATGTCGATTTTCGACATACTTGTATAGGAGAATGTAGACATGTCACTATACTTAAAAGCAAACAAAACTGACATGAACACAAAAGTATTTATTAATATTGTATACACGTAAAGACATTTAAATCAACTGCACACATACAGTTCAAACATTCATTATTGTTAGCCTTACTTTGAAAGCCAACGCACACATTCCACCGTATTTTCTCTCTAAGCGTTTTGTCATCAATTTCGATAGAATATTTGATCAATTAAACATATTTGCATTCATCGAAAAAAAATTCTTTTTTTTATATCGATATAAACTTTGGCGGTAAAAAACCAAACGAGAATTAAGAGTTTAGCGATAGCATTTAAAATACATCAATTGACTTGATAATCATTGATCCTTTTCATCACTTTTGAGTCAACGTTATGTGCAAGAATTATTTGGGGAAGCAAGGGCAAAATTAATCAACATTATTGGAATCCAACAAGCCAGTGAATGTTCTTGACAATTCATTATTATCATTGCATATTTTGCGTTTTGGGGGGAAAGTTATTCACTTTCCCTAATTTTATTGACAAATTACAAATACATTGAAATTTCTTTTATTTTTTATGATTTATTTTTATAATAATCTTGATGGGTTTTCTACTCTGATGTAGTTGAAAGTATTACAACTAGCATTCGGTTATATTTTTCTTTTTTTTTTCTTTTGAATTTAAATTGTCATCCTTCAATTTCGGAATAATTTAACACGAAAATATGATGTTCCAGAACTTTTTTCACTTTAATAAAATTAAATTCTGTCAATTTAATCGAAAGCCAATTTGAGTTTTCCTATGCTGATGGTAGTTATGTTTACGTTTATATGAAACAAAAAGTTTCTTGCAAAATCTGAACATTTTAAATGAAAATGGACATTTTTCATCAATCTAATTTGAAATAGCCAATATTAGGAAAAGGTCTTTGAGTAGGAATGTGAATGTTTAGTTCAATGATGTAACATTCTCGACCCCCACGTCAAAGAATAACAGCAAGATGTAAAATTAAAACGAGTTGTTATGGGAGTCGTGTTAATAAACGTTTGTGTGTTTCTGCTTAATTTCAATTTTACGGTTTATTGTAAATATCTATATATACGTATGTGTGTGTTGTGTATTTATGTGTGTGTGTATATCTGTTGCCATTTCACTTAACAATAATTTTTTTTAGTTATGTTCATAGTTTTCATTTACTTTTTTCCTTTAACCTTTGTCTTCTTCATTTTTTGTTTAAATTATCATTAGTACTATTTTATTAAATATTAAATTATACCTAAAAATTTAATATTTAATGTTTAGTTCTGTGTGTGTGTTTTTATTCAATTAACACATTATTTCTCAATCTTGCCTATTTCATATATTTATTGTATTTCATTTATTTTACTATTCCACTTTCAATTTATCTCAATGTGCTGCTGTGAAAATTAGTTTGTTTCCGAGTTATATTGGTTTGAAAGGTTGTTTCGTGTTTTAGCAAGTATCGCCTGAATTTCCTGCCATCTTCTTTATATTGATCGCGAGAATACACACACAAAATTATTTCAATGTTGTTGATGTTGTTTGCAGGAAATAAGTATATGTGACAACTGTTTTAGTGGTTTCTGCTTATAGTGATTTTAGCGGTTAGCGTTTTTCAGTTGATTGGATAACCAATCAAGACCTTCGTATAATCCGTCGCCGCTTGTTGCACATGTTGCCTGAATGTACCAGTTACGATTTCTTAACGAGTGAAGTCCTAACTTGTCAGTAATTTCAGCTGCATTCATTGCGTTTGGTAGATCCTAGAACAGTATATGATCAATATGAAAGTGATATTTGGTTTGATATAAATATCATCTACAATCGGTTTACCTGTTTGTTGGCAAATATCAGTAAGACTGCATCTCGAAGCTCATCTTCGGCTAACATTCGCATTAATTCTTCTCGTGCCTCGCCAATTCGCTCTCTATCATTACTGTCGACCACAAAAATTAAGCCCTGGAGGGAAATAATACGAATTTGAACGAAAATTGAGGTAACATTGGAAAAACTTATAGTAAGATACTTACTTGTGTATTTTGGAAGTAGTGCCTCCAAAGTGGACGAATCTTGTCTTGGCCACCCACATCCCATACAGTAAAACTAATATTCTTGTATTCTACCGTTTCCACATTGAAACCTGAAAGCAATGATAAATAACATAAATGTGTATGCAAACGAATTGAAAATTCATATCGCAATATGATTTACGCATATTCTATGCCGTTTTGACTACCAACATTTAAAATCGTATGACCGCATTTTAACAAACATCGCACAGCGCCATCTACGTTTGCGCTTTATTTTACTGCGAATTAAAATACAATCAAAATATGCGCTCAAACATTGAGAGACAAAACGATATAGAATATTCGTAAATAATAATTCAATATGAATTCAACATCGATGGGTCTCTGTCAGTTTTTACATTTTTGTTTTTATTTTCTTTCATTTCATGGGATCGTTATTTTATTTTCATCAGAATACGTAAATTTGTAGCACGGGTCTTTCTCCAAAAATGTTCAAATTACTTATCAACAATCACGGAATCTATATTTCAGGATATTTCAAGATAAAAATAACAAATATACTCACCAATGGTTGGTATCGTTGTCACAATTTCACCTAATTTTAGTTTGTATAATATAGTTGTTTTACCGGCAGCATCCAAACCAACCATCAATATTCTCATTTCTTTTTTGCCGAAAAGGCCTTTGAATAGATTTGCAAACACGTTTCCCATGATCGTATTATACTCGTACCTATTATAGAGTTTTCAAATTCCAATGAGATAATTTTTTCAATAGTTCTATATATGTTTGTTTTCTTCCAATCGTTCGGGTTTTCGTGATCGATTTTTTCTATTCAAACACGATTACTACCTGTAAAGAAGAAAGAATAATATATTGAATAAGTTCCTATACAATTTTTACTAAATCGCTTTCTACAATTAATATGTCATTTGATCAGTTGTTCATCATCAACACAGAGTATGTGTTTGGAGATTATTTTTGATCGTTTTTGAACGGCGTTAGTAATATTTATACAATATCCACGAAAAAAATGAAAATTGAGACAACAGTAAAAATTGTTGATATGCAACATCAATCTTGATCGATAAGTTTCAACTAATCAGTAGATCTGAACTAATATATAATTAAATTCTTAATTTTGCATAACATAAATAAAACATCCAGAGATAAGGAACGACTCATATTAGCGAGAATGTTTTCATAGTGAACGGATATGCACATTTTCCGTTATATACAGGAATTAAACATACTCTATCCATACAGACAATATCATTCGCATACATTTTATGGTACATTCATATATAAGTTACGATTTAGGGCGCGTCATTGTTCAAAGCTTTGAGCACATTGTGTCCATTTCATCTCTAAAAGAAATCGCATAACTATTTACCACTTATGGCATTGCCAAAAATAATGATGCAAATATCAAATCCCATTAAGCTTGCACAAATGATTCAAATAATTTGGTATTCAAACATTCCACCATGCTTAGTAATAAACAAAAAAAAAGATATGAAACCAACAATTTGTACTCGTATACATCAAAATGGCTTGAAGCTTAGTACAAAATACCAACATGTCTTATTCAGAATGCATTAGCATATTCCAAACTATTCCATATTTTTATTTATTTCCAATAATATATATATCTCTTCAGAATTTACTAATTCAAATCTATTGCTTATAAAAAAAAACCAATTCTTTAAATACAAGACCAACAATATACACAATGGAAAAGGAAACTTTTATTGAAGCAGAAGAAACGAAAAAAAAAAATCTCCACGTCACATACTCAGTGACCGTAAGTATACGGCTAGTGTATGAGTGAATGTATGTAATCAATTCTGCTTAGTATCAAGATTTTGATTTCAATTTTGACAGTATTGTTCCATATTTTTCACTTTCTTTTTTATTGAAAAATTAACAATCACGGTTTCTTCTCAGTATTTTGCAAAATCATTTTACACAATATTATTCACACACTTGCTTTACTTCGCTTTACACTGGAGAAATAAAAAACCTTGGTTTTCTCTCGAAACAAATTGATATTTGAGCCTTGTTGGATTGAATACCGGGCAAAAATTGACAGGCACTTACTACTCCATTTGGTTAAAGTTAAATAAACTATATAGATTTATTGTTATTATTATTATTATACGAATTTCCAATCTATTTGTTCCGAAATTGGAAATAAAACTCAAATTTTATAACCGAAAACTGTTCAAATACATTAGATACAAATGGCTAGGGAAACTTTTTATTCTGAAAGATAGACTGGTCAAACAGTTATGCACTTTGGATAAACAATTTCAACTATATATATTTGGAGATGATATTCGAGAAAATTTGAAAATAGAAAGTACGTAGTCAGTAATAAATGCAAACTTACTAATTGAATATGTCTAAACAAAAATGAATGAAAAATTAAATAACAATGTTAAGACTCTCTTCCTGATCACAGTCGTTGTCGACGACCGAAAAAGTGAATAGTGTTCTATTAAAATGGCGGACGTGGAAAAAAATATGGAAAGACCTACAATGGAGAGCCTCACAAGCGGCGGTTTTTAGTATTGGAACAAAAGTTTGATTGTTGTTTCGTTTAGTTCTTGTCGAAATCATGGCTTCACCATGTTCTAATGTATATGTAGCCGTGTCGGCATTTCTCACTGGCAACACTAATGAACATAAATACATACACAATGAAATATGACTTGTGTATTTTGATGATGAACCATGTCAGATTCCAAAAATTTCTGAGAAATTTTATTGAATTGATAGCTGAAATAAATTATATACATCTAATATTACAGCTATTAAAAGTTTCTTAAATTATTGTGAAAAAACAATTCGAGTTTTCTAAAAGAATTCATTTACCACCAACACAAACACGAATACAATGACATTTCATTCATCATCCACCCAAAATGAAAGCGTTTTGAAATTCATGTCCAACAACCAAAAAAGCTTGATTTCAATATGTATAAGTTCCGGCTACAACATTGATGTCACACCGATAAAGCGGTATTGCAAATTTCGAGTGAGGTATTTGAGTGTGTGTTAACATTCGAAATGCCAACAATTTGAATAAACGTTTCATAACGTGAAATGCATGAATCTCGATGTCGATCTGGAACTATATGAATGCCACGTCGCCGAAGAAAATATATCTTTCAAAAATAAATTGATAGACGAAGTTTTTATGTTAGAATCAACATGAAATATCACCTGAATCATTTATGGATAAACACTTTTGGATTTGGATGGCAGATCATTCGTATTGTTTAGTTGTTATACATAAAGAACCGTCATTTGATCTAGATTGACTCGTTAGATGGCTCTCATACTATTACATTACGTGTTTCGATATGACATGACATATTTTCGACAACAATAAAGCAGGATTTTCTCCTTTCTCTCTCCTCTCTTATCTGAATGTTGAACCAACCACCGAAAACGTGCATGAGTCAGAAACGATTCCACGGAATTAATAATAAAATCGCGCAAAATCGAAATCAGTATAAAAATCTTTTTGTTTCATTCAATTGTTCAATTAATTGAAATGAGAGTGATAAATTCTTCAATCGCAATTTGAGACCACGTACACTTGAACAATCTGAAGTTTTTGAATCTGAACTATTGTAATGATCTTATTCACAAAAAGTGACAAATTTTGTCAACGACACTAAAGCTTAAAAAAAATATTGAACACCAAAAAAACATATTTTTGCTGATGGAACATGCAATTACGAAGCTATTTGATGGAACTACTTTGTCGGTAAATATTTCTATTTTTTTTTTTCCAAATAAAACATCTTCACATTCAATTATTTCGTTGATTTTAGCCTTTTAAAATTGGTTAATCCATTTATTTTTGAAGTAATCTTCACAGTAAATCGATTTTTTTTGTTCAATATATTTTAAATAAGTTTTCAACAACTACGAACTTAATTATCTGCTTTACTTGTTCTGATTCGGCTATTTAATTGAAATCAAATTAAGATATTAGAAAATATTGAAGAATTGTACACTTCGGTTTGACGAGACCAACAAATCACTCAATACTAACGTATGGCCGCATGATAATTTTTTGGCTACAGCGAAGAATTTAACGGTACGAGTGTTTATGTGTTAGTTCAATTAATCGGTAAAGTGGGGTTCCTTATGTATATGTTTTGCTGGCTTTCGTTTATGACATCTGTCAAAATTGTACAAAATTAACATATTCTAAAAGTATTGAGTGGCGCCACGCTGTGGATTCGGCACATATTTAAAATACGAATTTCGAAAGATGTAAAATTCAAACAAAAAACCGTAATTTTTGAATTATTTTCAGGGACCACAAATTGAAAAACTAGTGAAATGGCTTCAGGTGGCGCCAAAAACAACCACAATTCGTGTGAATTTACTACATACCTCTACTGATAATGTCATATCATATATATTGGAAACTCTTGAAAAATGCGACTTGCCTGGTTTGCCTATAGTTCAACGCTTACCAGACATACCAGAGATGATTATCATACATAGCATTGACAAAAATTTAATTAATAGACTACCAAAATCTGGATATAAAGAAGTATTTTTTTTGTTTTTTTTTGTCTGCAATGTATTTTTTCTTTAAATTCATAACTCATTTTAAAAGATTATAGTTGATGTATGTTGTGCTGCGGCTGTTTTGCGTGGAGCTCATATATATTGTCCCGGCATTTTAGCCATGCAATCGAACACTAAATTAGACGAAATGGTCAATATCTTCGCGGATGTTGAAGGAGCATGCAGAAAAGGGACAAATATAGTTTATTCGTCCAAATCAAAACTGTTTGTAGGCATTGGACAGGTGAAAATGCAAAGATTTCAATTGTTTAGAAGTGAATCAAAAGGAATTGCTGTTCGTGTGCATGAGACCGTCTCGTGCGTTCCTTCTATTGGGAGTGATTATCTTGTGAATCAACAAAGTTTACTGCAGGTTTTCAGCTCTGGTCGATTGATTCTTCAGCAAAATTAAATTGTATCTTTTTAAAATATATTTTAGAACTTTCCTTCGATCGTTTGCAGCCGAGTGCTGAGCCCAAAACCGAATGAAATTATTTTGGATATGTGCGCATCACCTGGAAACAAAACTACACATATTGCACAATTAATGCAGGACACTGGACTTTTGATTGCTTTAGATAAGTCAAAGAGTCGTGTAGCTGTACTTAAAGAGAATATACAACGATTTAAATTGAAATCTGTTCATGTTCATGCTTATGACGCAACAAAAGCCCTTTCGAAACTTTGCAAAGACAATTGGTTACCACCATTTACGGAAGAGGTAAAGAAGAAGATGAAAAAAAGCAATCATTTGTGTTGGTGTTCCTTTTTTATTCAAGCACTAACTTTATCATGAGAATGACAATTTCTTACGAAATCATGAACATATTTCTATTTGTTTGACACTCGTTTTTCATGATTATAGAGTTTTGACAGAATTTTATTGGATGCGCCATGCAGTGGTATGGGGAATCGGCCCGTGCTAGCTACAAAAATGAGTCCGAATATTTTATCATCTTTTCCTAAATTGCAAAAAAAATTACTCGACACTGCGGTGAAATTATTGAAAATTAATGGAACTTTGGTCTACAGCACATGTTCAGTTATGGAAGGTAACAATTTTTTTCAAATAATATATAGATATGTCTGTATTGCAAAGCCATATAAAACTTATTCTCCTTTATTTATTTTTGTATTTTATTGTTAATGGAAGCTGAAAATGAGCTCAACGTTGCATATATTTTGGAAAAATATGGACCACAAATAGAATTAGAAACTGCAAATCCTTTGTTTGGAAGAAAAGGGTTACCGAATACGGGTCTAAGTGATGTATGAATGGTGAATTTTTATGTATTTTTTTATCCTGACCAGTGCGTTGGATTTTTTCAATGAAATTTTGTAGTATAATGACGAGTTTTAGCGTTTACAAAGCCAAAAGTGAACCTTATAGTGCAATAATTCTTCCCAGGGCTGGAAGAACTGGTACTTGGTTGATTTTTGGCCATGGATAATTAAAAAAATATTCATAAACCTGGATTCCTCACGGTTTAGTCAGGAAATGCGAATTTACGAAAATCAGTCTTAGAAAAAATTTATGAAGTAAATTGAAATTTTTTTTGAATTTGTTGCTTAAATAACATACTTTTTTGTATGCAATATCGGAGAAAGAGAGAAATGCGCGATAAACCGATTAAAAGAACAAAATGATTTCAGTATTATGCATAGCATTATTGAGAATTCCAAAGGATTATTTGGAATTATTTTCGTACTATTTACTTCGGGAAGTGTGGATAGGAATTGATGCGTTGTGGTGCACAGGGGAGGAGCAAGACCGGTTTACCACTTTGATTGTGTTAATATCATGCATGTACGCAGAATTTGGTGCACTTTATATTGAAAATAGGCTCAATCATTTGACTGATATCAAAAAAAACCTTATCTGACAACACAATTTTATTAATATCGGTATTATTTTCAGTTGCAACGCGCAATGGTACAACGCTTTGGACCTGATCTGGAAGACTTGGAAAATCAAGATACCTTCATAGATTCAACAGGTTTCTTCATTTGCAAATTTAGAAAAAGATCAAAAATCGTTTGACTGAAAAGGATCTAACGATTCAACGATTCAATCAGATATGGTACAATCTCAAGATTTTGCTGCACAATTTGAATCCATACAAAAGCAATTTTTATTGTTTGCACTGCGTAAAATGAAATTGTGACACGGATTCTTGCTGCCTTTTGATTGCGAGAATTACAAATTTTAAATATTGTAAATACATAACATAATATTTATACCAATTAAACCACCTCTGTATGGTGCATAGAAACGCTGTATGGTGCAGGAAAATAATAATAAAATTGTATCGCAAAAAAATTTGATATTGTTTATCTAATATGAGAAAATGTTCATAAATCAATTTAAATTGTTTGTATCTCTAGGTCTCGACGTGAACTGTAAATTTAAAACTACCAAAAGGGATTTATTCAGATTGGGTGTAAAACTTCTCTTGAATTTATCACCCCTTTAATGAATTGAACGATGGATTTGCAGTCATTTAGGTCGACCTACATTGTTTGACGCTTCATCGGGCCTTTCATTTTTCGCACTCATTTCCAATTTATAATATGACTCCATTATGAAGAATCTGAATTTGATGAACATGCGTTCAAGACTGTTTGGCACCGCGATATGCCGCAGCAAAGTGCATTCTCACCAAAGGTGTGTATTGCATGAATTCAATAATTTTATTTGTGAATTTGCAGGGCACTGTCTTTTATTTGGGGGACCGATCCACTTGGCGCTACTACAACAAGTCCCTTGGAATCAAGCAGTTCAGCAGAATGATCAACATTAAGCATCCACCGCAAGGGGGAAACTACTACTACCGCATAATTCATATTAATACAATCTAGTACCACACCAATTCTGATAAATTCCAAAAAATTCTGCGCAATTCAATACAATTCCAATCAATTCCGATGTTTCTAAGTCAAATTTGATGATAATCAACTTCAAAAATTGCAAATATAGGGTCATTAAGCATCTCAAAGGAATGCTTAAGCGCATAGATGTTCAATCTTATCGAAATAACTTCAGATAGGGCGTTTTTAATTGTACATCTTCAAATTCAATATTTCACTTCAAATAGGTAAAGGCTTTATGATTCAGAGCTAGAATTGAGTCTTGTAGATCAAACCAAGTCAAATATGTTCTGGAAGTAAAAATCTTCAATATGCATTCAAATGAATGGTAAATGTCCCTATATTTGCGATATTTTGAGTTGATCATCACCAAATTTGACCAAGGAACATCGGAATTGATTGGAATAGTTTTGAATTGCGCAGAATTTTTTGGAATTTTTCAGAATTTGTGTTGTACTAGATTGTATTAATATGAATCATGCGGTAGTAGTAGTTTCCCCCTTGCCCCGAGTTCGTCATTTTTTTATATTAAGGATTCAATACGTCCCAAAAAGTGTAGATTGACTTATTTAGAGGTCGATGTCGTTGGCCCCACCCCAATTTGGTGCTGGGTCGTCCTATATAACAAAATTTAGTGCTAATTTAGTGATGTCGATTGGTATCTAGCATGATTTTAGTGCTGCCCTCCATGCGAAAATTTTTGATTTTGAAAAAAAAAATTGATTTTGAAAAAAT